TAAATCTATCAGAAAAATCAATTTAATTATTTATGACAGTAATAAACATTGGTTTATTTGAGTTAAATAAGCATACAAAATACAGAATATAATAAAGAATAATTGATGCGAAGGAAAAGTAAACCTTTGCAGATATTACATCTAATTATCCGGGTTTAGTGAAAATTGTTATTTATCTTAATTATGTGATGATTGAGGGATGAAAACTTTTAACACTATGAATTTAGTCTGTTTGATAAAAAAAGCTATGAATTAAGGATGTTCATGGAATTATCTATCTCCTAAAATATTTGATCCCATTCATTAGAGAAGAGAGGGAAGCCGATCACCATATATCATATCATATCATATTATATTTGTCACATTTGATGCACTAATGTGAATCTGGTCAAGCTAATAATGAAGCAAATCAGGCTGAACTATGTACAATCTAATTGTCATTTGATCATTGGCCAAATTCTACGCGATTTAAGTTACGATCATAGAGCTGTTCCATTCCTCCATTGATTAGATCACACAATTAATCAGATCGGATGAAGAAATTTCCCACCTTTTTTTTTTTTTTTTTTTCTTCACTTTATAGATAGATAAAAGAATACTTTTATCCCTCACAATGACATTTTTAGATATATTATGTATTCTTGAGGATTATCATTTGACCTTTAATTAATTTAGATTATATATACATATATATATATATACATATATTTACATACATATATATACATATGTATATATGTATATATATATATATATACATACACACACACACACACACACACACACACACATATATATATATATATAGAGAGAGAGAGAGAGAGAGAGAGAGAGAGAGAGAGAGAGAGAGAGAGAGAGAAGAAGAAGAAGAAACTAAAGCATACATGATTTGTGTGTTATAATATGGAGGAAACAAATGACAATTTTTTTGAACCAGAAGATGCATTACCTGAAGAAAATGCTCATACAGTGGATAAAATGCAGCCTAATTTTCTTTTTTTTTAATGAACTTGGATCACTGTGAATTAATCTTAAGAGAATTGGGCAGATCATTAAAGCAGCTTCTATGATTGATTCTTAGGAGAGTAACATAAAACTATTGCTATATTGTTTTCATAAAATATTATGGTGTTTTTTTCCCTCATCCAATCTGTTCCAAGGAAGAAGTTAGAACAAGTTCTTATGGCTCTATCATTTTGTTTGTCTTGGAGTAAGCATAACCAAAGCTATCACAATCCATCCATTTCCTTTGATTGTTCGATGCATTGATTGCAGGATATTTGTAGAATTGCATCTCTTTAACAACCATACATTGACAATATTACAGAAATACACTTATTGATGAATAAACATATCCTCTCTCTCTCTCTCTCTCTCATGCATTCAAACAATCATGCGCTTGTCAATAGAACCAGGAATCATGTGCTGAACTAGAGAACAGGTGTCCACCAAAACCTTCTCCTTCAGCCTCCGAGACCACACATACATCATCATCTTAGACTTGTTGTCAGGGACCATTCATTGTTTGCAGTCTCATGTTTCTATCAATGTCTGCAAAGATGTTGCTTCCACCAGGAATGCCAGCAAACTAGTCATGAACAAGACCCAAATTTCCAGGAAGGCCTTACAAGACTCAGATCTCCTCAGGATTCTGCTGCATGTCGGTGCATCCCTCCTGGCCAAAAGAGACACAAGGATCAAAGCATCGACGACAACGAGAACAGCAACTCGGATGAGGAGTTCTTCCCACCAGCCTCATCTGTACATCTTTGTCCATCACTCCAGCCACCTGCATTGACTTGTACTGCAGATACCAGTCATGCTCATGGATCTTTCTCACACCAACCTCATGAGAAATGCTGAGGGGAATGCACTGAACCTGCTCTGCTTTCAGTCCATGCATGGCCTTGTGGGATGTTGGGAGCTCAGTGCTCCTCACATGTGCCTGTCACTGTGGCACTTGACCTTTTGCTTTCTTTCCTTTGTTGTGTTAGATCTGAGATGGGGAAGAGCTCTTGCGACATTAACATTTGTTACCATTCCTTCATGTGCTTCTGGGACCAGACTCATCTCTTTCATTCTGACCAAGTCCCCTTTCCTCCTCAGTTCCAGACACTTCCTGTTGCTTAACAGCAAATTGGTCTGTGAACACCAGTGCTCTTATTTTCCATGTATTACGTACTGCATTGCAATGATGAGATGCTTTCATGCATATGGCAAAAGCATTTGCTTTCAGTTCTTGTAATCAATGCAAAGAGTGTATATTAGCTCAATGCTGAATTCATCACAAAATGACAAGTCTTTTTCTCCTGAGGTTTGCATAATTTGGAATGATGGATGCAGGAGTGCAGTGTTGTGTAAGTGCAGCTAAAAGGTCTTTGATTCTCATGTAAGGAGTCACCAGAGACAAATATATCTCAGTTAATTATAAAGCTTGATCAATTTATAGAGCACTTCAATGTTGGCTACATTTAGATTGATTAGACAACAGTTTCTCCACATGCCTAATTTGAAATCATGAGTAATAAAACCACATTAACTGCAACAAAGAAGTGTACAAAATGTGGTCTTTGATGGTAAATCACATTTACTATACTATTTTAAGGGCAGCACAACCTTCATATATGACTCTTTAGGATATTGCAATGCATGATTTTGTGAACCTTCATGACAATCAACAACAGTCATTATCCCAATTCTATAAAAAACTATAACAAAGAAGCCATGACTTCTCTAAAATTATTATAGCAATCATTATCACAAGTGCTATTTCTCCAAGCCAATGTGTGCCTCCTAAATTCTCCTCTCCAGTGATCTGGTAAGGCAGCATAAAACTGATAAAGAAGACATTTCAGTGATAAAAATTGTCATGATCACTATTTCATATTGATACCAGAAAACAACAGACACTCTATAAGTGCAGCTAAGCTACATCAAAGGCAAACAAACAGCTTAGCTACTCAAAAACAGAGCTCATTGGATCGGTACATGAGGTCCACCTCCAGATGAATTTAATGAAGAGAGAATTGATTATAATGTGCTACCCGAATAGTGTGCATTCGACAAGGAGAGCAGGATAAAGCATTTGAGGACAAGTTGTTCCTTGTAGTAACATTTGAGGAAGAAACCAGACCAAGTTAATCATCTCATCACATGAATGGCAATTCAACAAGCTCATGACTCCTCTGTAGTATGTGCCAATGATTCTGATAGTTGTTATTCCACCAGTGCACAAAACCGAATGCTGGTGCACCATCATTCTTAGCTGCAATGATTCCATGCCAGCGTAACTAGGGAGAACAAATTCCTTCCATGGCCTCATGCAAATCCTATCCATGAAACAAAACAGAGGAATCACAAAAATGCTTACAGACATATAGTATTTGTCTCAACATGTAGTGTGTGTCCATAAAGAAAGCTGTTCTCATTTCGCCTTCCCGAGCTTTGTTATGATGGAATACCATTATTTGCAGTTGACACTAGTAATTTCTTATTTATACTCCTAACTGTATGTTGCCTCAGAGCAGCCTAAACCAAAGGCACCTGAAACCAGCCAGCAGAACAAATTGCACCACTTAAAGACCTCCATCTCACTTCGCATATCATCAAGAAATATTTAAAATAATCATTTACCTACAATAATGAAAAATATTTCAGAAGACATACAAGCATATATGCTCTTTTTTAAAGAACAGAAACTTACCAAAAGAAAATATTTGATCGCCAAAGATAATCATTCACCATTACCACAAAAGCAAAGAAAAACATAGGCCCCGGGGATTGGACTGACAAGGTTCCCATATCAGAGCTAAGACTCATGCCACAGGACACGGTCATTAACTGAATGCCATTAGACAGTTTCATAAAAGTTCACATGGTAAATGTTTCATGGTCTGCGGGAATGTCATGACTACGTTTGCTAGAAAGCAAAGTCAACAGGAAAATATAACAGTTTTTTTTTCAGAAAAAGAAATAGAATGCTGCATTGTTTTAGATAATCAAGCCCATTCATGTGCCATTAGCAGATTTAGCAAATGACAACAAAGGAAGAGATGCTGAAATCATTCCCTTGTATTCAAATAATTGAGATAATTAAGGCTATTGGTTTAATGCAATATTGTTCTTTAGTCTCATTGGGGTTCTCGTGAGTCATGGGTGCCATGTGTAATCCACTCTTGTTGGACGCTCGTTGAGTTCCAACTGGGGACTTCAACATTTATATAGATGCCGTGAATAGAAATAAGACAGCATCTGTCCAGCTTTATTTTTCAAAAAATAAAAGAAAAGGTAATTTTTTAAGCATCCGTTGTGAC